ACCCAGTACATGACGACGTGGACGGTCCAGTTCCAGGGTGATGGGGACCCAAGAAGACGGCCGGTGGAGCCCGATGAGCTGGGTGTAGCACAGGAAAGGCGGTCGCGCCGTGGTGGTAGCAGTGGAGGAAGGCTGCGAGCCGGTTAGGAACGGGATCTACGTGTCTCACATGACAGCGGCAAATAGGGGGCGGCTGCACATACTCAGGGGCTTCTTCTTGAGGAAAAGGAAGCAGGTGTCGAGGAGCTCGAGATACTTGGTCAGGTAGTTCAGCTGGGGAGGAGATTACGTGTCAGCGCGTGCACCAAACGGTAGAAGCCGACAACGCCGGTTGACGCTGGACGATTTGTAGACGTACGTAGTAGAGGACGACGAGAGGCTGAGTCCAGCCGCCTTCCTTGTCGCAAATGGCGTGGAAGACGCCGCCGCGAACGACGGTGGGCAGGAGCTGCTCGACGAAGAGGACCAGAAGTATGCCGGAGATGGCGGTAAGATAAAAGTTGTGGATCAAGAACAGCGTCTTGAGCTTGAAAGGCTCGCGGTTGCGCATCCACTCACGGCCACCGAAGATGATGGTGTAGTAGATGACGATGAAGATGAGGGTCTCCTTAAGGGTGGACATGGGAGTGTCACCCTGCTTGAAGCGGAACTCGCTGGCGGGATAGCCTACGACGGCGGTCCATGCCTTGTCGAAGATGGGCCACAGCTCGATGCCGAAGGGACGGTCGATGGTGGGGAGCGGGAGCTGCTCGTAAAAGGTGGTGGGAGTGACAGACGCCATTGTGAGAGATGGGGGGCGCGAGTGGCCGAGGTCGTTGTATGTGGTCTTGTGAGTGTCGGTATGGAGCGCGACGAGACGCGTATTATGTCCACGACGAGACGGAAAGTATGCGGGATTGCGCAAAGGCCAGAGGCGTAAGCGCGGGAAAGAACAAGGCGAACCCTAAGGAGTGACGAGAAGGAAGAGACAAAGTGTGTCCGCAACGAGCCCAAAGGACGGAGTCGATACGGGGAGGAAAAGGGGGGGAGAGGGAGAAAGGGAGTGAAAGGGGAGAAGGTCAAGTGGGATGAAAAGAGAAGGGGATCGTGGAGAGGAAAAGGCATCTGGCGATCGAAAAGGGGACGTGGACGGGATTTTTCCAGAAAGCCAATCCCAAGCCCAACCAATGGTTCAGCGCCCGTTGTCGAGTCGCGGCAGCGACCAGCGGCCAAGCCGGCCCCCCCTCCCCCCAAGACGTGCTTGTACTCGATACTTTGGCCTTGGGGGCCTTTGGGAATGGGGTTGACCAGGCCCAAGCAGGAAATGAGCTATGCTTCTGCATGTGATGAGCTTGTTGAGGCCCTCTGGCCAATGGGACATCAGAGAATTGGTCGCTGGCCTGGGGCACTGCCAAGGGGCTCATCAGCAGCACGTGACCTGCCACCTCGGCGGTCGGCAGCGAAAGCAGTGCTGCAAGTACTCGGTACTTGTTGTTTGCCCGACTGTACTGCAATCTCCGTATTCATGTGCGACGGCAGGGACGACGTCAGCGGGCTCGATACAGGGGGCTCGCTTTAGGGGAAACAGCCTCGGTCAACAAAGAGCATTGGAGCATTGGAGCATTGGAGCATTTGGGTTTTCCTCCTCCTGCAGAGCTGAAGTACATGTTCAGTGGCACGGTACCACGGAACGTCCCAGCAGCCATAATAGCCCATCAGTTATATCGTATCCAGTCCCGAGAGGTCCGGGCGGGGAGGTCAACAAGGAGCAGACAGAAAGGAGGAGACAAAAATGAAGAGATAAACAGGAGTGACGGAGGGTTTGTCCTCGACAATGTCTTCAATTGGGCCCCAACAAACTGAACCCAAGGGCACGCAGCTGCAAACATCTCCCACAAGCGACTTTGGCTTACTAAGGCCAAAGACAGCCAAGCCATGCCGTCTGGTCAGTGTAGGCGACTGACCGCGCAGTGTGGCATGCATTTCGCGGCATTCATACGTGGCCGTCGTCGGTGTCTGTCCGGGCATTGAGGGAGATGACCGAGTCGAGTCAGGTCCGCCCTCCGTCAAGATGGGACACTACCAGAGCGTGCCTTCATGAGGAGAGGTAGGTAGGTAGGTAGGTACCTGGAGGCATGGTGGACAGCTGGTTCAGACCTCTGATTACTGATGTAGAGACTCACTCCAGCTCCAGGGCTTCAGTCCAGCTCCAGGGCTTGCACGTTAGTTGCACTGTAAAACATCCACTGCAAGCCCCCTGGAAGCCCCCGAAGGACAGCTGTGTCACGCCGACACGGCACTGTCTGGGGCACAGCTCCCCGATGAGGGCAAGCGCAGATTAGTCATCCAATCAAAAGGCCGCAGAATCCAATCCTTTCCCCCCTGCACCCAAACACAATTGGCACCGACATCATTCGATCCAACCGAAAGCTGACTCTGGTCCCCAAGCCCGGCATCGTGGAACCTTACCTGAACGCAAAAAAACCGGAACAACCTCGATCCACCACCTACCACTCCCAACCACAACTACCACCCATCACCACCACCACCACCACCTCCTCTCTAATCACGACGACCACCGTCCCCCCACACCGTCGCCATGTCTGCCGCTCTCCTTCGCGTCGCCGCCCGCCGCGGCTTCTTCAACGCCAACCCCGTCGTCCGCTCCGCCCCCCTCGCCGCTCGCGCTGCCGTCCTCCTTCCCATGGCTGCCGGCTCGGCCTCCCACTTCAGCACCGTGCCTGCCAGGCGCTCCGAGCACCAGGAGGAGACCTTCGAGGAGTTCTCTGCCAGGTACGCCGCATTCTCGCCCTCCTCTCGACGGTCAATTGGGCAGGGCGATGACTGCACTGTCGCGTCAGTCTGCTGCGGCTCCTCGGCAAAGGAGCGTTTTTCTCTCCCTCGGTGGCACCAGCAGACCATCGCGACAGCCGCCCTCTCAATTGACCGCGCCATCGCCGCAATGCACTCAATTGCATCGAGCTCCCGCTGACTATTTTTTTCCACCGCCAGGTTCGAGAAGGAATTCGACGCCGTCAACGACGTTTTTGAGCTTCAGGTAAGAACGACCTCTCTCTCGCACCCGCCCAATCCCCGGTACCCCGGCCGGGGGTATAAAAGTGGTCTGATCACAGAAAGAACACAACCCATCACCCACGAGTCGGCACACTCGCAACAACGACCACCTTACCAAGAATTGAATGACGGCTAACGTGAAACCCCAATTCTGCAGCGCAACCTCAACAACGCCTTCGCCTACGATCTCGTTCCCTCCCCCACAGTCGTCGCCGCCGCGTTAAAGGCGGCCCGCCGCGTCAACGACTTCGCCACCGCCGTCCGCGTCTTCGAGGGCGTCAAGGCCAAGGTCGAGAACAAGGGCCAGTACGAGCAGTACCTCGCCGAGCTCAAGCCCCTGAGGGAAGAGCTCGGCCTCTCCCTCAAGGAGGACATCTACCCCGAGCAGCAGCAGCAGTAAACGCCGCCGCGCGGCTTCGCTGCCTGTGTCTGTTAGGGCGCGTGTCGGCCGCGCCTCTGGTCTTTTTGGCCGCTGCTCTCTGGGTTCGCTCATTGCGGTTGTTCTGAGGGAGTGCGACAGGGGACTGGACCGTCTGTATGGATGAGGTTCGAGCCCGGTGAGATGGGGTCAGCTGTCACGGTGGAGAGGGAGCTGTATGTGTGATCGTGTCAACGGAGAATGCTTGTGTGACGGCTTTGTATATTCTACTACTAGAGGCTAAGACCAGAAACACGCCAGTTCGTGCTTGCCTGCGTCGTGTTGTGAACCTTTGGCTGATAGAAAAAGAACGGGGAGTTATCTTTGCGCTCGACAATTGGGCCAACGCCGCCTGACTGTTGTTCTCTGCCTTGTCTCGATACTGCCAGTGCCTATGGAGCTCGACAGTGTCCTAAGACCACGCTGACCACAAATTTGCCTAAGGATTTCATATCCGCAGACAAGGACGACATGAACCTGATCGACTGTACCTGTGTTCCATGGACAACATCTCACCACCATTGTGACTCAGACTGGATGAACAATAGATAAGACTGACTGACTACCCTTTAACGCCCAGAACCACCGGTAAATCCGGCGAGGCATGCATGCTGTACCCTGCCTGGACCATGTATAGCTCCCTAGAAGATAGAAAAAAACACAGAAAGGAGATGCTTCTGTCCACAATCTTTCGCGTGATATCATAATACGAAGCTAGTTCGGAAGCTTTCGTCAGAACGGCACCGTCATGATACGTTTCCTCTAGTCAATAATGTTGCATCACAGGACGACAGCAACACGGCGTCCTTGCCTTACTCAAAGCCGGTCCCGTAAATGATTGAACCGCCCATTCGCCGCAGACGACGCCGCAAACAAGGGAGGAGGCGGCGGCGGCGCAGGCGTCTCGACGACGTGAGATGGCGACGTCCCTCTGCTACCCGGCGTAGCGCCTGCGGACGCACCCAGCGTGCTTAAGCCCCCGCGTCCATTGCGCGGCGTCATGACGCCCATGCGCGGGCTTCGGGGAACACTCGTCCCACGCGTCTCGCGGTCGCCCATTCTTCAGCGACCTGAGTTCTTTCGCGGGTGGGGCTCCGAGCTCCTCGTTCGCGGTCCTTGGCGGAGCGGTCTGCGCCCTCCCACTACTAATCGCTGGAGGTCTTTCTGGCTGCTGTCCGCGTTTGATCTGCTGAAATTCTTGACGAGGCTCCTCCGAGAACTGCTGCTTGAGCTGCGCAACCTGCTCTCGAAGCTCCTTGTTCTCCTGCACGGTGTCATTGACGTGCTGCCGCTCATCCTGGTATTGACCTCTCGCGAAGTCAAAGTCGCTTTCCTTGCTCTTCAATTTCTTCTCAGAGACGTATTTCTTCCGCGCAGCACTGAGCTCTTGCTCCTCTCGTCTAGCCCAGCGAGCACGCTGTCTTTGGACGCGCTGTCAACTCGCTGAAGCGCAGGATGGCATCCCGCTCCGCGAGACGCGCACGAACCGCCTGTTCTTGCTCGACGGCCTGGTTTCGCTCCTTCTCAAAGCCCGCACGTTCGCTCAGAGCAGCCATGTGCTGTTTCTGGATCACTTCGGCTGTTGATTCGTGGCTCTTAATCTGTTTCGACATCCGCGTGATCTGCTTGCGAGTGATAGCCTCGAGCTCATCTTTATCTCTTAATTGGGATTCCAATTCAGTGTTCTGTGGAGAGTTAGTCAATGGTTCTTGTGAGCAGTGCCACAAACAACCCGTGCTTGGCCTACCTTTTGCGTGAGAGCCCCCCATGCGGCCCGAGTTAACATGACCTGCTCCTTGGCTGGGTCTGGGTCGATCAGTTCTCGGACTGTGGTATCAAGTTCCGCCGGCGTCTGTGCCACTGATTGTGAGCGGCGCAAGCGTTTCGGTGACCCGACAGGTGGCCCGTCGTGCTTGCGTTTGAGGGCAGAGATTTGACGGGCTTCGAGCTGGGATTGAGGTTGCGTCTGGCTTTTCTGCGCGTTATCGTAAAAGTCTAGGAGATCGCTGGGGATCAACTCCGGTTCCCAATCAAATGCAAGATCAGGATCCAGGAGGTGCTCTGCGAATTCCGCCACAACCCTCTCTACGTCTTGATCGCCGTGATTGGCCAATACTGCTCGGCTCTGGAAAATGGAGATCAAGAGTGCGTTCTTGCGGTCAAGATCCCCGAAATCTGTTGGGATGACCACTTCGAAATGCTCGATTGAATACGTGATGACCAGACTGATCACGACTGGCTTCTTGCTGGGCTCAGCTTGCTCCACCTGCTGCGAAGCTACAGACGTGGCGTAAGCAGAGTCATACCCAATGACAATATCGAAGGCGAGGGCGTCCACATCCTGATCAGCATGGGCAAGCTGAACGACGAGCTCAGATTCCTCACGATCGCTGGGCTTTATGGTGCCGATGATTGCTTGCAGGTACCCGAGAAGCTTCTGGCTTCGTGCGACGATCAGAACCTTCTTATCAGTGTAGGCTAGGCGTTCCAAAAGTCGGCCAACAAAGTAGAATTTACTATTCGTGCCCATGGCATGCTTCTGTATATCGGTCGTATCAAGCTGACGAAGTTCATCTGCGCCAAGCGATGCTGGGTGGTCGCAAATGTCGAACAGATCACCAAAGAACCGGTCGATCTGGGCTGATAGTTGCGCATCTGGCGGAGTTCCCTCGTTGCTCTGCTGGTTGTTGAACGCTTCAATTTCACGTCGGTACCGAAGAATGGTGTTGAGGTACACTTCTTTCATGTTCGCAGGAAGGGGTAAGGTCACCATGTATTGATCCGAGCCTGGCACCTCTGAAGATGGTGAAGAAGTGATTTCAGGGTCCACAGCCTCGATAGACATCGTCGGGGGCTCCAAGGGGGCCTGCATCAGACTTTCGGGTTCTACTGTTCGACTGATCTCTGATGGAGAAATTGTTGCCGGAAAGACCTCAGGTACAGATTCGGGTTGAAGAAGGGCGCCAGACATGTCAGTCGATGTCGCCATCTCAAGATGGGATTCGTTGACGGGCTCCTGCAGCTCATTCATGACAGGCATCAGCGGAAGCGAAGTAGGTTCCGGCGCCGACAACAATATGTCGTTAGCAACTGGCAGGGCACCTGGCAAGGTCGTTTGAGTCTCTCCCGAAATCGTCATCTCCTGGTTTAGATCTTCGGCCGGAAATTTCGTCCGATTTGAGGAGCCGATGAAGTCGAACAAGTCATTGACGTCCGGAAACTCGGATATAGGCGCCGAAGATTCCGCATTTTGCTGCCCCGCAGCCGCATCAAGAAGCAAAGCGACCGGGTCGTCCTCATCTGGCGCAACTCCGCTCATCTCGGAGGAATGAGCTGGTAGCGAGCTGGATGTTCGGGAGTCAGAGCAGATGGCCTTCCGCACAACCGAGTCTGGCACGACGTTATCGGGCGAACTGCTGTCGCAGGTGACTTGGCTCACCGCAATGCTAGCCTGCGCCGGGTCGATTTGTGCTGCTTGCTCGGTAAGGACGTCCTGGCTCTGAGGAACTTCGACAACCGCCAGCGCGTATGAACCGGCAGATTCTAGTTGCTCCTGGCGTTGGGTCAACGGCAAGGGTGCACCAGAGCTAGACTCGGGCACAATCTCTCGGGAATCTAGCGCGGAGCTCGCAATCAGCTCAAGATCAAATCCGAAATCTGGCTGCGAAAAGAACTTTGGGGATCCTCCCGGTCTGTGAGACTCTTCGACAAGTTCGTTCAGAGAGCTATGCTGTTCGTTGGCCTGTTCTCTCGTATCTCCGATATCGGGCTGGTGCGAAGGAATTTCGGGGTCCTGTGTTCGTGAAGCGTCACCCGTTGATGGATCGACAAGAGACTGACTGGGTACGAGGGATTTTCCTAAGCTGGAGTCCTTCTGGGAGTCGGGAATCTCGAGGCGGGGCCGAGGAACAGTTTGAGACACCGAAAGGGCTTGAGAAGAAGAGCCTGTCTGAGTATCGTCAAGCCAATCCTGGGAGTCCGGGATGGTTTCTTGGCTATGAAATGCGGGTTCGAGCGTGATTTGCGCGTCGAGTTCTTCCAGGGCGGACAATGATTGGGAGTGCGAGTTTGCAGTCTGTTGGGAAGACTCAGGAAAGCTGTGGTACTGGGAGGTGTCGATGGCGGCCTTGCTCGGAAGCTCCACGAAGATACTACTGGTGTTTGGTCTTTCGAAGTTGTCCGAAGCTTCTGGTGTGTATGCTTCCTCGGAAGGAAGTGAAGACAGGTCAACACTAAGCCTCGGACGCTTGGATGCGCGCACGTCGTCGGCTGTGAGGCCAGGGAGAAAGTCGGCAACCGAAGACGAGCGGGCACGACTGTCAAGGGGGCGAGGCCTCTTGCGACGGTTGGCTGGAAGGACGTCTTGGCTGCTATCAACGGACTGTGGCGAGGCGATTCGTGTTTCCGCCGTGGTTGTTGCTGCGGTTGCGACTACGGACGTTCGAGGGTTGCTCTTCTTGGTCGTCGTGGTCTTTTGCGCCCGTGTCTTTTGACTCTGAGCCTGTGCCTTCTCAGATTCCCACTCTTCGATAGCTGCTTCCGTTACACCTTCAGCAGAAATCTGTATTTCGTATTAGCACCGTGTTTGTCAGGAGCTTGCGCAGGCGTCCAACATACCCACTGTAGAGGGAACTCCTGTCCGGTTTGGGGATCCGAAGCCCAGCGAACGAGGTAGGATGGCTTCTTGTTTCTCCTCCTTTCTTTAACAATGCCGACGATGGGCCAGAAATCTCCTTCCTCTGCGCCTTGACTGTCTATTTGTTCTGGATCGTGGTCTGCGCTGCGTACCGAGTCCGATTCAACAGGAAGCACCCCCGGACGACTAGGCATTGACGGCGAGCCAGGAGGCGAACGGTTCCCTTGGTCGTGGCCTCTCGGGTCATCGCTGTTGCCGAGATGCTGCGACGGAATAGTGCGGGCGAGAGAGTCGTCGGTCGAGGCAGCACGGGTCTGGGGTCGGGCTTCGGCTTGGTTGTTGATGGGTGGTTTAGTCGCGGTGCTGCCAGAGCTTCGAAGTCGCCTGTTGCTGGTCTTGAGCTCTGAGCCAATCACACGTGACGAGCGTGGCATCGTGCAACCTCCCAGGGTAGCATGCGCCTGCCAATCAGCGCGAGCAGACCAGCGAAGAGAGAGCCACAAGGTGGGGCTTTGCAAGCAAGGGGACTATGGGGAAGTTACTGGTGGGATGCGAGTCTGTCTCGTCGCTGTCAACGGACGTGTTTGCTGCAGTGAATATTTCGTTTCGAAGAACCATGCCAGACGGGAGGAGCGGATGATGCACTCGAGTAAATTCGAAGTGTGAATAGGGTAGGTACCTAATAAGGTGAGGGAGGGAGGTAAGAAAGGCAGTGAATGTGGATGCCCTCCGGGTCGTGCCTTCGTTGGGGAAACTGAATCACCAGTGATTCTTTTGGTTGGCTGGTCATGCAAACACCATGTGCTCAGACAAGACGATGCTGGAACACGTCAAATGGTACAGCCAACGATCGAAACAGGGGCCAAGGATACAAAGAGCTTTCTTCCCTTTGCTAGGTAGGTAAGAGTAGTAGCCAAAGACCCATCTGTTTGTCAACGCCCTCCAAGCGGTTGCCATATGACTGCACCGCCTTCGAAAGACGGCAAAGGGCCATGACCTACCTACACTGCTTCACCAAGACGATCAAGGACGCAAATCGGACTACGAGTGGCAAGAATATACGAAAAAAATGTCTATTGAGCGCCAAAATCCTTCAGCCTGAAACCACTTTTCATCCAGATGCTCTTGATATACGGGTATGTAAGACAGGTTCAACCAGGTAAATGTCCAGAACTGTATATCCTCTCTACCTTAGTCGAGGAAAGTAAACAAATTGGTGTGCAAAATGTTCATGGCTCGAGTCGCATCGCGCGCACCGATGACACACGAAATGTTGATCTCACTCGCGCCTGACGAGTGGTTAGCAAAAGCGGGAAAATATGCGAAGGCAGGAAATCGTAGGCATACCCTGCGAGATCATCTCCAGGTTGACTTGGTGCTCGCCCAGAGTCGAGAACATGCGACCCGCGATACCGACCATGTTCTTCATCTCGGCACCAACGAGGCTGAGAATCGCCATGTCGTGTAGGATGCTGACATCACCGCAGTCCTCAAGCTCGAGCCTCGCCTTGTCAAATTGGCCCGGCTCCGAGTTGCCAACGTGGATGGCCATGGACACGTGCACCTCACTGGTGGAAATGAGATCGACGGAGACCTGATGCCTGTCCAGGATGGAGAAGACCTTGGCGAAGAAACCGTGCGATATGGAGCGCTTGTTCGAGTGCACGTTGATGACGGAGATCTTATCCTTGATTGTCACAGCCGTGGGCCTCTTTGGTTTCTTAAGCCGAGCGGGATCTGACCACGCGTGGCGTTGAATCTGGTGGCCTGCTGCAAGAACGGGGTCGGGGACGACGATCGTGCCGACGCCAGTGGGGTTCTTGACATTCTTGATGCGGATCGGTATCGGGGGGTTCGCGTGGATAACCTGGTCCATGGTGAGATGGTGGATAACCTCGGAGCCGTAGAATGTCAGCTCCGCTGCCTCGGATGGCGTGATGGACGGTAGAAGTCGTGCCGTGGGCACCTTTGCTCGGATCGGCCGTAAAAATGCCGTCGACTTCCTTCCAGACCTGCAACTCGTCGGCGCGCATACCGACAGCGCAAAGCGCAGCGCAGAGGTCAGTGTAGCCTCGGCCGATGTCGCCATCAATCAGGCTGCCGGGAACGTTGCCAAAGAAGCCAGTGACGACGGGAACTCTATCCTCGCACGCCAGAATCTTCTTGTTCAACAGTGCGGTCGCTTCTTGATAGAAAGACACATCCAGCCGGGCCGTGGCGTCATAGTGGAAGACGTCGCTCAAATCAACGTACTCCGAGGCAACTCCTTGATCTTGAAGCAATATAGCCATGAAGCGGCAGCTGAGTTTCTCGCCGAAGCTGATGACACGGTCCTTGGATCTGGCGTTCACCTCGAGATTGAAGCGTTTTGCGGCCACAATGTACTCTGTAAGCTCCTGGCACTCATCTTTGATCTGTTGGGACAGGGCATGTTGGAGGTCCTCGTTGCGAATAAAGTTGTGTACCGCGAGCACGTGCTCGCTACTGATGTCGCTGATGAGGCTCTTGGCCTCCTCCATGAGCTCGTTCTGCACATCTTCGTCGTTGGTCGCGGCGGCAATGCCCTTGAGCTTGTTATAGATGCCGAGCAAGCTAGTCCACAGGATTAGGCGCAAGGCTCGGGATTTCAGGGATTGCGCTGAGTGACGATGCACGAAAGTGACTCACCGACTTGTCGTACCCTCAGCCTTCTTGCCCGTACTCCTGGCCGAGCAGACGACGACGACTCTATGTTCAGAAAGATTGGCCCTGAATAAAATGGTAAGTCAATTGATCTCGTCGTGTTTGGTGAACTTGATAATGGTGGCTTCTCACTTCACTATGTCTTTCGCAATCTGCAAATCGGTGTCAGTATGAATATGAGAGGTTTACCGGTTGGAGACGAAGTGAGAGATTATGAGACGAGGGCGAAAGACTCACCTTGTCCGGAAACTTGCCGACACTTGTGCCGCCAAACTTTTGCACAACCCATCCATAGTTGGATGCGTTACCTGTCAATTGGCCGCCCATGGCGGTGGTACAGTAAGTCGCAAGGAGCGAGTTGTCGGCAGGTGAGACAGGTGTTGGCTGTATGTGCCGAACAGTGCGCCGTGGACGTGGGGTTGCAGCAAGTGAGAGACCCCGGGTGAGGTGTCTACAGGTTGCTGATGTGTGCCTGTTGTAGGTAGGTCGAGCGAAATCCCACCAGCGCCGATAGAGTAGAGTGAAGACCAAGTGGTGAAGTTGAGGTGTGAACCGTTCAGTGGTGACAAAGTTGGTCTACTTTAGGTGGGACTTGTGGGGGACGAAATCGGCGGCGGCTGACGGGTGTAGACGCTGCTAATGGCTCGCTGGTAGGCGGCTGGATGAAGCCGGAGGCCGGTAAACCGGAGCCTGGAGTCTGGAGCACTAACAAAAATTTCTCCAGCACCCAGTGTTCCCCAATGGGCAGCACCCGAGGGTGACTCCGTCTCACGCTTGCAGCTGTCGCGGAGCATGTGCAGCCCTGCCGTTCTCGGAACCCGTCTGTCAGGCACTGACTGGGATTGGTACCTTGCATGTCTCAGGTCTTGGGAATCTGGGCACAACCACAGTTCGATCATATTTGCGCGTTTCCTCTACTCCCTGCTTGCATTGCCACGCTGCAATGGACGAATACTGCCATATTTTAATCGTTCAGCCATTAAACTCTCTCATGTCTTGAGGCCTGTTTTTTGTTGATGCGCCATGCAGGAGGGGGCGTCCCAGGGTATGTATGGCTCTGTACCTTATGGGGTACTCGCGACCGTTGAGGTGAATACCTATTCCCTTTGATGAGTCGAAGGTACCCATGACGGCGATCTCGACGCCAAACCATGTTCCAGTGCTCGTAGCTACAGCTCAATTCAACATGTGATCCCGTGTATTCGATTTGGACTTCAGCCGTGATTCTCTAGCCAACCGGTTCTCAACTATAACGAAACGAAACCATCGTATTGCACATCCTCCAAGTCCAAGGCTGGGTACTGAAGCAAGAATTAAAAGCATTAAATCGCCACCAAACCCCGTGAACGCCCCTTTCTTTCAGGCCTTTCAGCTCAAAGCCCAGACCCAGAAATCAAACCACCGACCCATCGACGCCACATTGGTTCAGTAACCCAGGCTCCCCAATAAGATGGCGCACCTGCCGAACCGCGAACCGCAAACCCCCTAAAACGAAAAGTGACCAAACCCCCTTCCTCGTTCGTACATTCGTGCCGTCGTTACCACACGCGTCGTCATTGATCGATGCCCTGCCCTGAAGACAGCAGGGCCTGGTCGACTTCGGTCTGTGAGAAGGTGTACTTGTCCATGGGGAACTCCTCGTCAGGCGTTCGAATCCCGATCCCGCTGTCGTCAGGATTGCAACCTCTATAGAGGCCCGCCGGATCTACCTGTGTCGTACTATTTGTGGATGGAAACGGTGCCCGGTCAGGTTGCGCGGAAGGTAGGTTGGAGAAGTTGACTCTTCACTTCCGCGCTTTGGCGCGCAGTTTC